AGGAGCCCCTGTGTTTTGACACAGTGGGGAGAATTCTCTAAAATTGGAGCAGCTGTGCATAGTAACCAATCAGATTCAATCTTCAGCTTGTTCAGGTTAAGTTTTAAGGCTAGTTTACACCAGCCCCAGTGCGTTCCGTCACGATTCGGTGGCAGAACGCACTATATTGCATTCCAGCTGGCTCACTGCGTTCTAGGGCGGGAGGGGTCGTGGCTGCTGTGCCATTGATTTCAATGCAATGCCACGCCCCTGGCTGCAGTGCGATCACCCACACCGAAACTCGTGGCACATCAATGCCTGCGTGCACTATTTTTTCCGGTCGCACCATACCAGAACGCAGGCATTGATGTGCCACGCATTCCGGTGTGGGCGATCGTACTGCGGCTAAGCAGCGTGGCTACGGTGCCATTGACTTCCATGCAACGCCACGGCCCCTCCTGCCCCTGAATGCAGTGAGGCGGCCGGGATGCGATCCAGTGCGTTCTGGCACTGAATCGTGCCGGGACGCACTGGGGCTTGTGTGAACTAGCCCTGAAAGTGAAAGCTAGAAATTGATTGGTTGCCTTGGGCCAACTGCTGCAGATTCTGTCTGCTTCAGTCTTAGGGCCCTTTCACACTAGCTCATCCATGAAAGCACTCCTTTTTGTGGATGAGCTGAGCTAGTGCGTTGTGGCAGCTCCGGCAATGTGCATTGTACCACACACACTGCCAGAGCTGTCACTGTTTACATTTTTCTTTTTCACTTTTTTAAAGAACTCTGGGCAAAACTTTTATTAACCCTTGTAGTTTGGCTACCCCTGCCCTGCAATGGTTAACTGATCGGTTTGGTCTAGGTGCTGAAATACAAAAAGCTATACTCGCCGAAAACCTTGGAGGCGGCCAGCTGTCGCAGCGCTCCCTCCAGCATGCGATGGTATGTCCCTTGGCCTCCTCATGTCCTATAGACAGTGTATTGGATGTGATGACTCAAGGATTCTTAGTCCTCTGCAGAGGAGGAGGGGGAGGGAGGCTGGAAGGACAGGTGTAAAGCTGGCCATACACCTATAGATTATCTGCAGACTTTCTATGGTCAGATGGAAAAAGTGCAACAGATTCCCCCATCTGCGCTAAACTGTGTGGATGGAGGAATCTCCCACTGGGCCAAGCTTCAGTATCTTGCTAGTCGGCCCCGCTGACTCTCAAAACACCTGAACAATACTGGCATCCGATCAAATTGTTCAGGTATATTGAGCGTAGCAGGGCCGACTAGCAAGATAGTGAAGCTTGGCCCAGCGGGAGATTCCTCCATCCACACAGTTTAGCGTAGCTGGAGGAATCTGTTGAACTTTTTCCATCTGACTATAGAAAGTCTGCAGATAATCTATAGGTGTATGGCCAACTTTAGAGCAAGCTGGCTCCGAGGTTCAGGTGGGTATAACTTTCTTTTTAAATAAATACCCTACACAAAATTGAGCACTTAACACTTGCATTGTGGGGGGAGCCTCAGCATTGGCTGTATCAAAATATGAAGACCACTCTTTCCATGCACAAGCCTCTGACACCACGGGATGAATTTATAAACCATTCACATTGAACAGCTCCGGAAGTGAGATCTGCAGTGGATTATAGCCACTAGATAGAGCGAAGGAAAATCCTATTTTCTTCAGCTCCATCTAATGACCTTAATGTGGCATCTAAATCAATCCCTGATTTTCTAATTATGGCAAAATGTTATTTGTGTGCTTTGATAGACATGGATGGAGGCAGTAGTCCTCATGCTCATGTGATGCCGTAGACATGGATGGATTCAGTAGTCCTCATGCTCATGTGATGCCGTAGACATGGATGGATTCAGTAGTCCTCATGCTCATGTGATGCCGTAGACATGGATGGAGGCAGTAGTCCTCATGTTCATGTGATGCCATAGACATGGATGGAGGCAGTAGTCCTCATGTTCATGTGATGCCATAGACATGGATGGAGGCAGTAGTCCTCATGTTCATGTGATGCCATAGACATGGATGGAGGCAGTAGTCCTCATGTTCATGTGATGCCATAGACATGGATGGAGGCAGTAGTCCTCATGTTCAGGCAGTAGTCCTCATGTTCAGGCAGTAGTTCTTAGTTATCATGTTCATGTAATTGTGTGAACAAAAAATTATTCTCTTTCCTTTTTTTTCTTGAACGCACATTGTTAATTTAATATGACAAACATAAACACCATCTATTGTTGTTCTCACACCTGCTCCAGACCTAGTCACACTTCCTTACATCATTATTCTTCCTTAGAACATTTGAATACCTTGCTTTGCTTTTCTTGCCGGCTCCCATAGTGATGCGTTGTTGAGTGAAGAGGATCCCTGTTGCGTTAGTTTTGGTTGCCCTCGAAGCTAGTGCAAATAAAAAAGACTGTAGGCTGTCATCACATGCCTGTCTAAGAAAGAAACAAAAGAATTCTGGGAAAACATCAAACAGAATGTGCTTTTTGTTTTTCTGTTTTTTTTTTACCTTTTTGAGTAAAATGTTATTTGGAAAGAGAAGAGTATTCACAGTGGAAATTAGACACACTGCAGTTGGATGAAGATATCAAGAGCAAATGTAATAAAACAAAGCGACAATCCCCATCAACCTCTCCACCGACATCTAGATCTGTCCATTTTATATTGGAATAAAAGATTGACTTGAAGAATAGGTGCACTTTCAGAGAAAGCCAGAGACAGTAGGTCAGGCTCCCCTTTATTGACCACGTTGACAGCCAAACACAGTGATCACATGATCAGGAGCCTGTCTAGGGGCCTGCAGTATTGTGAGATGATTATAGGACCAGTGGGAAAATAAGCCCTTTAACAACCATTTATTGCAAGCTAGTTGCTATACAAAACTTAGTAAAGCTGGCCATACACTGCTTTGAGTTTCCACCCAATCCCTGCTGAATCAGCCAAAATGTGAGCTGTTGGTGGCCATGTGTGTAGCCCAATTCTCCCTCCTTCCGCAAGCTCAACAAAAGTCAACTTTTTTTCCAACTTTTGTCCAAAGAGCCATTATGAGAATTATTTGATTCCCATCAGATCCACATGCTGTTGGGTACAATAGCAGCTGGTAGCGGGGATTCCTCCATCCATGCTGTTTAGTGTGAATGGGGGATTCAGGGAAATTTTAAGTATCTTTGGCTAACTTAAAGGGTCAGTTCACTTTTTCCCAAGTGAATTTGGGAGAAATGGAATTACTGGTCAAATCTGGCCCCTTCTTCCCCTGTCGCTATACTTGCCTTTTAGCGAAGGCTTCTTCCCCTCTGCCTGTACGGGTGTACTCTCCGTACCCCTTACTGCCACGCTATGGATTTTGAATTTCACTTGCAAATTGTGAGCAATCTATGATTAGCGTGGTTGCCTGACCTCGCTGACCAATGAGAAGTGTTTCTAACTGTGCTGACCAGTGAGAAGCAATTCTCATTGGTCAGTGTAGTCAAGTGACTGTGGTAAGTACAGCGGCAGAGAGAGGGGGCCAGATGGAAAGTGAACTTACTCTTTAAGTCAAGCCATACCGGTAAAAGAACAGTTTATTGACTCACCTTTCCTGCTGTCTGGGCCATCAAACCGCACTGATCTGGAAAAATCTTCTACTGAAGTTTGCAAGAAAACCAACCCTTCTGGGAGTGTCAGTCGCTGGTTCCTAATACTGACATCCACATTATTACTGTATCGTGTTACCTGCAAAGGTCAGCAGGAAGAATCGGTGAGAGCTGTAGGGGACCCAGGAGATCGACACTCCCAGAAGTGTCAGTTTCCCTTTTAGGCCGGGCTCACACCTAGGCGATGTATCATGCAAAACACAGATTTGCATTCAAGTCAATGGAGGCTGTTAACACCTTTGCGTTGTGTCACGTGTGCGAAATCGGCTGTCGTGCAAAAAGGTGCAGGAGCTATTTTCGGTTTTGGATGCCGGTATTTTGGTATCGAGTACGAGTACCAATATTTTTTTTTTTTTTTATACTCGCCGATACTGGAAGTCCCATTTAAGGAAGCCAGGCGGCGTGTAATGACTCGCTACATGGCTTCCTGATTTAGCAGGGAAGCCGTCCACATGCTTCTCAT